CCCCCCCCCCCCGACCTTCAATTTCGTGAGCCGTTTGCTGCGTTCGTGTAGAGTATTTCACCCCTCCCCTAGGTCCCTGCCAAAATGGCCTTCGCGTCCGCGATAGCCAGGTCGCGTTCGCGAAGGGTAATGCCCCCAACGCTACGCGTTCGCGACCTGTGCCTCGCGTTCGCGTGGAAGGAATTTCCCTCAGACGAATTTACTCTTCGCGTTCGCGAGAGTTCCTTAGCGAACGCGAAGAAGGATATACCAGATGACAACAGAAGCCCAAAACACCAGAAATTTCAAGTCTAAAACATCCCGAAGCCTATCCGAAACTCACCCGAGCCCTCGGGGCTCCAAATCAAATATGCACACAAGTCTAAAAATATCATACGGACTTGCTCGTGCGATCAAATCTCTAAAATACGGATTTAGCATCAAAATCAATAAAATTCTCAAGAACACTTAAAGTTTCTATTTTCACAACCGAGGGTCCGAATCACGTCATATAAACTCTGTTTCTTACTAAATTTCACAGACATTACTTATATACCATATTAAATCTATACCGGGCTCCGCAACCAAGATACGGGCCCGATACCATCAAGATCAAGCAATGTTAAATTTCAAAAAACCATTATATTTTCACTTTAACAACTTTCTTCAAAAATTCATTTCTCGAACTAGGGACCTCGGAATTCGATTTCGAGCATACGCCCCAAGTCCCATATTTTACTATGGACCCTACGGGACCGTCAAATCACGGGTCCGGGTCCGTTTACCAAAAATATTGTACCGAAGTCAACTTTAATCAATTTAAAGGTAAAATTCAATATTTTTCTTAGATTTCACATAAAGCCTTTCCGAAAATGAGCCCGGACTGCACACGCAAATCCAGGAGAAAGAAAGTGAGGTTTTCAAGACCTCGGAACCCGGATTCGGATTCTAAAACAAAAGATGACCCCTTGGGTCATCACAACTTTGTCATGGAAGATGAGAAGAAACTCAACAACAAGAAACAGGGTATGTTATATAAAATCATAAACGGATAATACCTCTTCAGATCGGAATGTTTATAATCTAAAATTGAGGTATTTCTACTTGGAAAAGATCTAGATATATATTAAAGCAAGAAAGTTTGCCTTCTCATTTAGCCAAGTGGCAACCTATTAAGAGGGTGTTTGGATTGGTTTATAAAAAGTAGTTTTTAAGCTAGCCAAAAGTCATATGTTGGTAATACCCAACTTTTGGCTTTTGGCTTATTTTTGTACTTTTTATGCCTACAAGTAAGTGCTTTTAAGCACTTTTTATCATTGTCAAACACCACACAAACTAAAAAAATACTTAAAAGCCAATAAGCACTTAAAATAGGCCAATCCATACACCCTCTAACAAAACATTTGGCAACTTATTCAACCCAATTTCTTTTCCAGAAAATTCAATTACTTAATTTGTTTTCAACTAAATATATTAAAAATTACAAAAAAAATAATTGCAGAAGTGTCTTTCATAAGCTTCTTTCTTATCTTCATCTCTTTCAGAAGCGTCTTTCTTTTCTTCATCTATTTCCCACCATTGTTATATCACTTTGTCATGGAAGATGAGAAGAAATTCAGCAACAAGAAACATTGTATGTTATATAAAATCATAAACGGATAACACCTCTTCAGATCGGAATGTTTATTATCTAAAATTGAGGGATTTTTACTTGGAAAAGATTCACAATTTCCCAGCAACTATTACATTTTATCATCTCCAACCAAAATCCAATTCGAGGTATGTTTAAGGACATGACTTTCTCCTTAATTTTAGATATAAACCCTAAATTATTCACTTGCAAATTTCTGTTTGCCCAAAATTCGAGGTATGTTTAAGGAGATAACTTTCTCCTTAATTTTAGATACAAACCCTAAATTAGTTGCTTGGAATTAAAATTTCTATTTCCCTAACTTTTTGGGTTGAATCACACATTTTCCTACTCTTTTTATGGAAATATATTTTTCATAAAGTAAAAGCCCCTAAATTAGTTGCGTCAAATTCAAATTTCTATTTTCCCTTACATTTTATGGGCTGAAACACATATTTTCCGGCACGTTTTTTGGAAAATTCTGTTTCATAATGTTTACGCCCCTAAACGCACGTATTTTGTTTCTTATTTATAGCAAGTAAAAATATTATGTGAATTTATATTATATACTTTACATATATATTGCAGCTGAATTTTTTTTAATGTAATACTACTTAGGGTTTGTCTTCATTATATATATAGCTGCACCGGGCATATACTTTACTACAGACAGTACTTTGATCCAATTTTCTCTAAGGCAAAATATGATGGCAAACTTTGACTATGTCAGCGATATATCGAGTAACAAGATGACTTGGAATTTGAAGGTACAAGTAGTGAAATTGTGGCACGTTCCAGGCCGCGACAAACAAGACAACACCGTCTCTCTTGAATTAATTATTGAAGACGAATAGGTGCATTCTTTTTTAGTTGTATTTATTTTTTCCCGTAATTTGACTACAACATCCATCTTCTGATTTGCACTATGGAGTTCATTAGGTTATGCGTGTGTTTAATCAACTACAATTTCAGTTTTTATGGTCCAGATGGAGATACCTCCAACTGTGAATGAAGCTAACTCTTCATCTGCAATTTTGGTAGAAAAGATTTTTAGTATACTTGAAATCGCTTGTAGTTTGTTCTAAAGAATTTTTTTCATGTGCGAGAAAATGTTTGGAGATCTTAAACTATAAAATATCTAAGATTATTGTCATATGAACAGTAATTACAATAAAATCCGCATTGTCTGTTATTTTGGAAAGGCACGCATTCACATATTATGTTTTACCCATTGGTGCTTGATTGTTTAATATAATCTGAGACAACACTGTACAACTGAGTATTTTCCTGACTCAATATTATTTATGAATTATTTTTTTCTAGGGCTCGGATTCATGCGACTTTTGGTCGGTCTCTTATACGTATGTTCAAACCAAAGATAAAGGAATTGGGTTTGTACTTTATGAGGAATTTTGTGGTTGGACCAAATAGTATGAAACTTAAATATGCGCGACATAAATTAAAGTTGGCATTTACCCATAAGACGACTGTAGAGGAGTCAAATGATGTAGACTCTTCGGTAAGTATTCCTTTCGCAGTTCTTTTATTTGAATGTCTTATCAACTTTGTCGTGACCGTTGTTTTAAAATATTATAGATGTCATAGAAGAGGTTGTAAGTTATGGTGAAGTAGAATCATATGACCAAGGTGATAAGACCAGTACTTTGGTACAATTTGAAGTAGTTTTATTTGTATTTTAATTGGGTTTTTACCTTTTGGAATCATGTTTTAATATCTGAAATTAGTTGACTCTTTGTGATATGAACTTTATTTATGTTAGAAGTGCAACTGCATATTTCTGAAATATTGCATTAATGTCGCATGTGAACGTTTATGGTGTTATATCATCCAAGAATGATGAGAAGGAATTTATAAATGTTATATGTGAGTTAAGTGAATGAATCAAGTGCTGAACAAGTATCTTTGTGTAGTTAAGATTTATGTATCTACTTGTGTTCGTGCGACTTCAAACTTCTAATATATATTTTTTGTATGAAATATTAAAGTCCAAAAAAATGGGACAACATCCCCTGAATAGTAAAATGGGAAAAAGGTTCCGAACCGCTGGTCATGATTGGGATTAGAAACTTTGTACATTATTTTCCCTGAATTGGATAGATCGGGAATTGATCAAATGTGTAACCAAATGAATTTTAACGAGTATAAATAAGTGTGAGGAATAACTCTTATTGGGATTAAGAGCTCGAGAATTTTAGTTTTGAATCCCTCCAATTTTAAAATAGTGAATTTCTCTCTGATGCTATTTGTGTGGTCATATTGAATATAGTGTAAAGTGTAACCTTTATGTATGAGATATTGAAGTCCCATAGTAATGTACATTGTTTGAATCAGATGAACATCTCGATAATCCCTGTAGATACTCCATGTAGTTTGGATGGGGGTAAAATCTGAAAGGCTTGCTCCAGCTCTTCCAGCAGCAACGTGTATAGTTCCATTCAAGGCTTTTACTTATATAAGTGCTTCTCATTGTTTATTCAAATATTCTGCAGTAAACAAAGAATGTATGGAATGCATACTGCAGATGGCAATAAAGCATAACAAAGGCAGCGTTTGTGAACGACAGCGTTTGAAAGTTGTTTGTCTTCAAATATAAAGCATAACAAAGGGAAAGGCATATTGGTGAAGGAGAATACAAATAAATCTGGATTGAGTATAATTAGAATGTTTGAAATGCATACTGCAGATGGCGATAAAATAAATGGACATGTTGTTGTGCCAACTCCATCATATCAAAATTGCACACCATCAGTTATCTACCCCATAATGAGTTGTGGACATATTTCGAAATTCAAGCCTCTTGCATATAATCCAAAGCCCCTTCCAGTAGCAAATTTGAAAACTGGTTAGTCTTTTCTGGTGTCGTAATTATTAATTTGTATGTAATGGTTATCTATATTTATATTCAACTTATCAAATAATATCTCGGTGTAAATATGAGGATACCAATAAAATAGTTATTTGTAGCATAATAACTAAATATAGTTATAAAGAGGATAAGTGGACAAAAAATTACATACTTATATATTTTGTTTGGAAATTTTGAGTGTACATATGAGGATATAATTAGTCTAGCTCCAAGTATATTTAAAGGGTTAACAAATATAATCTTAACTCATGGACTAAATCTTACACAAAATTTAAAACAAAATCTGCAAATTTATTTTTATATAAATACATAATCGAACTTTTTCTACTTGATTTCTTTAATTTATTTTTTATTATCGATATTCTTTAATTTATGACCTTTATTTCTAAGATGATAAGGAATTGCGGGATATAGCATTCATAAGTTCTTTGTTGTGTAAATCATAATTAAAAGCAACTAACCTAACTATATTTGTTAAATAAAATATACCTTATTTGTTTAATCATGTAATATATTTTTTATAATATGATTATTTAAATTCTATAATTCTTTGTTCTTTCAGAAGGAGAGCTAACAGATGATGAATTAAAAAATTATTGTTTGCAAAAGTTGGAAAAAGTTTTGAAACGTTGTGGAAGAAGTTTTCAGGATTTTCCAACAATGCCAAGACCTCTTTACAATGAGGAAGAAGTTGACTATAGCAATAGATTAATCCATGATGAATTGCGTTATAATCGCCGTTCTCTGTTAGAGGAACATCAACAATTATTAATGAATTTGGCAGCTGAACAAAAGTCGATTTATGATAAAATTATGAGGGCGGTGAATGAAGCCAAAGGTGGATTCTTCTTTTTGTATGGTTACGGGAGAATTGGCAAGACTTGTATTTGGAAGACTCTGTCTTCTGGCATACAATATAGAGGTAATTGTTGCATCAAGTGGCATTGCGTCTTTTTTGTTACCAGGTGGTAGAATAGCTCATTCGAGATTTGCAATTACTCTCAATCCAACTGAAGATTCCACATGCAATATAACGCAAGGTAGTCCTATAGCAAATTTAATTATAAAGGCATAGTTGATTATTTGGGATGAGGCACCGACGATGCATAAATATTGTTATGAAGCTCTTGATCAAACTCTTAGAGATATTCTTATATTTAAAGACACATCCTGTGCTGATAAACCTTTTGGAGGTAAAATAGTTGTTCTTGGTAGTGACTTCAGACAAATTTTGCATGTTATTGCAAAAGGATCTAGGCAAGATATTGTTAGTGCTACTCTTAATTCGTCGTATTTATGGACCCACTGTGTAGTCTTAAATCTAACAAAGAATATGAGGTTGCAAATAGATCAGTTAGATGCACATTTGGATGAGGTAAGAAATTTTTCTGAATGGATTTTGGCAATCAGTGATGGAAGGATTGGGAGTTCCATTGATGGCATTGAGAAGGTCCAAATCCCTGATGATCTTCTCATAAGTAATTGTGATGATCCAATATCGGCAATTGTTGAAAGTACATATTCAGATTTCTTTAGCCATTCCAGTGACATAGATTACCTCCAACAAAGAGCAATTCTTGCTCCGACTCTTGATATGGTGGAATCAATCAATGAATATATGGTTTAACTCAATCATAGTCCGGAGAAGACATATTTGAGTTCTGATACCGTTTGTATGTCTGATCATTCTTTTTTAGCTTTGGAGCACGTACATTGTGACGACCCAAAGGGTCATCACCTATTTTCTCTCTCCTTCCTTTCTTCCGAGGCCTTAAGAATCTCATTTTTAGTCGCCTCGATTTGCATGCGCAGTCCGGGCGCGTAGCCGGAAAGCTTATACGTGAAATTATGTGAAAATGCTAAAAATTGGTATTAAAATGAGTAAATTTGACTGTGGTCAACATTTTGGGTAAACGGACCCGGGCCCGTGATTTGACGGTCTCGGAGGGTCCGTAGAAAAATATGGGACTCGGGCATATACCCGGAATCGAAATCCGAGGTCCCGAGCCCGAGAAATGAATTTTTAAAAGAAATTATTTTTCTAAAATTGTTAAGGAAAATGGAAATGAAAATTGATTAGAACGTGTTGGTATCGGGCCCGTATTTTGGTTCCGGCGCGCGGTACAGGTCTTATATGTGTTTTAAGATATTTCTGTGAAGTTTGGTTGAAATCGGACGTCGTTTGACGTGTTTCGGACTTAAAACTCTAAATTTGAAAGTTTATGAAGTTTGAAGAAAAACTTTGAGGCTTGATTCATCGATTTTGATGCTATGTTGGCGATTTGATCGCACGGTTAAGTTCGTAGGATGTTGTTTAGTTAGTGTATGTGTTTGGTTAGGAGCCCCGAGGGCTCGGGAGTGTTTCGGAGGTGTTCCGGGGTGGTTTTGAACTTAGAAAAGTTGCAGAAAATCTGCATCAGGTGCTCAGGTCTTTTCTTCTTCGCGTTCGCGACGCCTTGTTCGCGTTCGCGAAGCCTCGAGCAAGTCCTTCTTCGCGTTCGCATTCTCCCTTCGCGTTCGCATAGAGTCTTTGAACTCTGAGGGCCCAGCCCTCTCTCCTTCTCCGCGTTCGCGATGGCTGGACCGCGTTCGCGTAGGGTCCCAGCCTTGCCTCATCGCGTTCGCGTATAGGTCAACGCGTTCGCGTAGACCAATCCCCTGGATCCCCCCAGTCCTTCTCATCGCGAACGCGATAGTCTGTTAAGCCAACCCTTCGCGAACGCAACCTTGATTCCGCGAACGCGAAGGGCAAATTCGCCCAGTTATTTAAAATGCCCAAAACAGAACAGTGACGGGAAATTTTCACGAAATACACGAACCCTTTCTTCTCCAAGGCTTCTAGGCGATTTTTAGAGCATCTCTTCACCAAAGCTTCTTGAGCAAGTATTGTTTAACTTATTTTCTTCATTTTTCATCACTATTTATCAAATTCCTAAGCTCAAATCATATGATTTAGGGTAGAAATTGGGGGAAATGGGTAGAGTTAGGGTTTTCTATATTTTCTTGATTTAGATCTCGTTTTGGGGTCGAATTTGAAAACAAATTATATAGTCGGGCTCGTGGGTGAATGGGGGATTTGATTTTGGTCCGAACCTCGTATTTTGACCAAGCGGGCCCGGGGGCAATTTTGGAATTTTTGGGAAGAAAGCTTGGAAATCTATAATTAGGCATTGGGTTTGATTTGTTTAGCATATATTGATATTATAAAGTCCTTATTTTATAGATTTGATTGAGTTGGAGCCGAATTCGAGAGGGAAAGCGGTTGTCGAGGATTGATTTGGCTGTGGAAGTTGAGGTAAGTGTTTGGCCTAACCTTAGCTTGAGGGAATAGGAGTTGAGTCTTGTTTGCTACTTGCTAATTGTCGAGTACGGTATATAGGCATGGTGACGAGTATCTATACATTGGTGTCTAGCATGACCGTGAGTCTCTAAAATGCGATTATCATGATTTGTTGAAATTTCCATGCTTAATTGAGGATTCCTATATATTGTAAAGAACGTAAGAAAGACATTATGATTATTTAATTCTCCGGAGCATTGGCTCGAATGATGAAGTGAATTATAAAGTAAGATAAGAAAGAAAAAGATGGCTATTGGTTATTTACCTTGCCGGGATTTTCTGCCATTGTTTGTTTACTTCTTTGCCCCGTATTTGTGACTGTTGTTTGGATGAGAAAGAATGATATTGGTGGGTCGGGTTGCACGCTGCAACAATGATATTTGAGGATCGGGTTGCACGCCGCAACAGTTGCTGATTCAAGGGTGTTTAGTTGGAGTATTCGTTTCTTGATTCGTTGTAAATTCTTTGGCTGCTTCTACCTTTATATTGTGTTTTCCTAATTGTATCAGTTGCCTCCCCATAACATGTTCCCCCTTCCGTTATTGACTGTTTACTTCCCGTATTTCTTTCCGTAGTATGTATATATTTGAACTGCACAGGTTTATCTGGTAGTCTGGTCCTAGCCTCGTCACTACTTCGCCGAGGTTAGGCTAGGCACTTACTAGCACATGGGGTCGGTTGTGCTGATGCTACACTCCGTGCTCTTTTGCACAGATCCAGGTTTTGGTCAGCAGCTCCAGTAGCGTGGGTGCAGGTTTCCAGTCTAGCGAGACACCGAGGTAGCCTTGCAGGCGTCCGCAGGCCCGGCGTCTCCCCTATCCTTATATTTGGCTGTTATCTCATTGTATCCGAGACAAAACAGAGATGTTTCTTTCAGACCTTGTATTTAGTATTCTTAGATGTTCGTGAGTATGTGACTCCAGTTCTTGGGTAGAGATTCATGTTGGGAATTCCGTATTTTATTCAGTTATTTGAAATTTAAGACTTCCGCTTATGAATTTAGTTCTGTTGCCTTTATTTTAATGCTGTTAATTATTAAAAAGGAATAGGTGATTAATGGAAAGTGATTAAGTTTGGCTTGCCTAGCTCCTACTAGTAGGTGCCATCACGACCCCCGAAGGTGGGAAATCCGGGTCGTGACATGTTGGTATCAGAGCTCTAGGTTACATAGGTCTCACAACTCACGGACAAACTTGGTAGAGTCTGAGGGATCGGTACTAGACGTCTGTATTTATCCCCCAGAGGCTGCAGAGTTAGGAAAAACTTCACAATTGATCTTTCTTGTCGTGCGGTTCTGTTTCTCAACCACCGATTAAATTTCTACTCTGTTCTTTCGCAGATGGAGAGAACACACGCTTCCTCATCTACCGCTCAGCAGTCCGAGCCCCGAGCAGAAGCCCCAGAGGCGGAGCCTCAGGGTGAGTTTGAGGAGGAGGTTCCAGCCCCAGCAGTTCCAGTCGGCCCAGCTCAGGTCCCAGAGGGGTTCATTGCCACCCCAGTTCTTCAAGACGCTCTAGTCCGATTGGTAGGCCTCATAGAGGGTGTCATTCGAGTGGGTTTGCTTCCAGTGGTTCAGCCAGCGGTGGCAGGTCAGTCGGGTATAATGGCTCAGGCCGGGGGTGAGATCGCTTTTCAGGAGGCGGCCAATGTGGGCCGTAGAGTTGAGATAGTTCTGCCACAGGGAGGTGGTCATGGGTCGGATAAGAGGCCCCGTCATGCTGGCAGATTTAGTGGTATCTCGTCAGGAGGTAGAGGTTCTTGTGGTAGAGGCCATCCTTCTAGGCCCTTTCAGTCAGCTCTCCAGGTCACTCATAGTATTTCAGGTGGTCATTCAGGTCGATATGGTCGGCCTCAGTCTCCGCAGCTACAGCAGTCGCGTGGATGTTATGAGTGTGGCGAGTATGGTCATCTCAGGAGGGCTTGCCCGAGGTTGAGGGGTGCTCAGCCGCAGCAGCCGAGGTCTTGCCACGCTTGTGGCAACACGAGGCACATTGTCAGATATTGCCCCCGAGTTTATGGCAGCTCTCAGCATCAGAGTTCTCGTGCTATGGTTCAAGCACCAGAGGTTCCACAGCCTGCCCAGCCAGCTAGAGGTGGTGGCAGAGGTCATGGAGGTGCAGGTAGAGGACATAGAGGTGGAGCTCAGACCGCCAGAGGTACAGGCCAGCCAGCAGCCGATCGTCCCAGAGATATGGTTCAGGGAGGTGGGACCCAGCCCCGATGTTATGCTCTTCCAGCCAGGCCAGAGGCTGAGCCATCAGACGCTGTCATTACAGGTACTATTCTGGTTTGTGATAGAGATGCTTCAGTGCTATTTGACCCAGGGTCTACGTATTCGTATGTGTCATCCTATTTTGCACCGTACCTGGTTATGCCTAGGGATGCGTTGAGTATTCCTGTTTATGTGTCTGTACCGGTGGGTGATTCTATAGTGGTCGACCGAGTTCATCGTTCCTATGTTGTAGTGTTTGGGGGTCTTGAGACCCATGTTGATTTGTTGCTCTTAGACATGGTGGATTTCAATGTTATATTAGGGATGGATTGGTTGTCCCCGTATCATGCTATCTTGGATTGCCATGCCAAGACCGTGACCTTAGCCTTGTCAGATTTACCCCGTTTGGAGTGGAGACGGACCCCAGGTCATGCCACCCGCAGTGTTATATCATATATGAAGGCTCGATGCATGATCGAGAAGGGGTGTTTAGCTTATTTGGCGTATGTTCGTGACTCCAGCGCAGAGGTCCCTTCTATTGATTCTTTTCCCATTGTTCGGGAGTTCCCTGAGGTTTTCCCTTCAGACCTGCCGGGTATGCCGCCCGACAGGGATATCGACTTTTGTATTGATCTGGCTCCGGGCACTCAGCCCATTTTCATCCCGCCGTATCGCATGGCCCCGCCAGAGTTGAAAGAGTTAAAGGATCAGTTGCAGGATTTGCTTGAGAAGGGTTTCATTAGACCCAGAGTTTCGCCTTGGGGTGCACCAGTGTTATTTGTGAAGAAAAAGGATGGTTCGATGAGGATGTGCATTGATTACCGGCAATTGAACAAAGTTACGATCAAGAGTAAGTATCCGTTGTCGAGGATTGACGATTTGTTCGACCAGCTTCAGGGTGCAAAGGTGTTTTCAAAGATAGACTTGAGATCTGGTTACCATCAGTTGAGGATTAGGGCATCCGATGTCCCTAAGACAGCATTCCGCACTCGGTACGGGCATTATGAGTTCCTGGTCATATCATTTGGGTTGACCAATGCCCCAGCAGCATTTATGGAGTTGATGAACCGAGTGT